GATGGATTTCCTCCTTCTAGTCTTTTTAAGTCTTCCCTGATCTCATTTATTAAAGAGATATAATTTAATCTATACAAATGCTTAGATGAGGCAGTGAGTTTTATTCCTAGGTATTTTATCTCTTTTTCTCTCCATATAAAGGGGAATTCTTTTTGTAGTTTTTCTTTTTCATTCTTTGGTATATTAATATTCAGGATCTCTGTTTTTCGTTGGATTAATTTTTTAAATTTGATAGTTCACCATACTCCTTCAGAATCTTCATTATATTTGGGAGAGTTATTCGGCGATTCCCCACATAGAACAATAAGTCGTCCGCAAAGGCCGCTACTCTATGTTCTATGGATTCTATCTGAATTCCCTTTACCGATCCACTATTTCTTATTATTGACAACAGAGGTTCGAGTGACAATACATATAGCAGAGGGGACAGTGGACAGCCCTGTCTTGTACCATTAGACATTCCGATGGGTTCTGATCTCTCCCCATTTACCGTGATGATTGCAGTAGGCTCCCTATATAATTTACTTATCCACTCTCGCATTCTCTCACCTATCCCCAGCACTTTTAAGTTATCCATCATAAAGCCCCAGTCCACTCTATCAAATGCCTTTTCTGCATCAATTGACAAGAGCACCACCGGGGCTTTCCCTTTTCTACTTTTCTGAATAAGCATCAGGGTTCTCAAGCCGTTATCTCTACCTTCTCTCCCCGGTACAAAGCCCACCTGGTCTCCATGAATCCATTCAGGCATCAGATCCCTCAACCTGTTTGCTAACACCTTTGCATACAGTTTAGTTGTGTCTGTGTTCAATAATGAGATAGGTCTATAGCTGGAGCACTGAGATGGATCTTTTCCCTCCTTGTGAATAAGTACTACATGGGCCTGTAGGGATTCTCTCCTCACTTCCATGCCCACCTCCCAGAGCATTCATATATTTCTCCAACTTGGGTAGCAGTACTTCACTAAATTTTCTTATAGTACTTAACTGTATATCCATCCGGGCCTGGGCTTATTTTTCCCCCCCCCTGCTGTGCTTCTTAATGCTATTTTAATTTTCTTCCTGGGAGATTTCTGCGTCTAGGGAGTTTTCAACTGTGCTTCACTTGTTAGTTTTGGTAATCCCGCATTTTTTTTAAGTATGTCATCTTTTTTTCATTAATTCCCTCTTGGGCTTCTTTTAGGGGCCTTGGGGGCTAATATTATATAACTTTTTTTGTAATACTCCGTAAACACTTTAATAATCTCTTTATTTGAGTGGACCAACTCCCCCTTTGAACTTTTTATCTTTTCTATATAGTTCCTATTTTTCTTTTTATTCAAAGCTCTCATTAGATATCTTCCTGGTCTGTCCCCCCATCTATATCTCTCGTTCAAAACCCTGTTGTATACTCTTCTCTTCTCCTCATCCATCAACCTCTCTAGCTCATCTTTTTTATACGATAACCTCTGTCTCGTATCTTTTGTTATTTTCTTCTTATGGATCTGCTCCAAGTCCAATATTTATTTTAAGAGCCCACTGACCCTCTCTCTTCTTTCCTTTTTTCTTCTTTGCTCCCGCCGCAATCAAGATTCCTCTTATGAATACCTTATGACTTTCCCAGACTGTAGCTATCGATACGTCCTCTGTTTCATTCTCCTTAAAGTATACTTTTTTAATCTCTTTCGATTTTCTGAACTACATCCTCATCCAGAAGAAGACCCTCATTTAACCTCCACCCTAATCCTCCCCGTCCACCTTCTTCCCCATCCCATTTTCATTACAACCGGAGCATGGTCCGAGAACGTCCTTGTCTCTATATCAATTTTAACCAGATGATCTATAAGTTGATGGTCTATTAAGATGTAATCTAATCTCGAGTATATCTCATGTGCATTAGAGAAGAAGGTATAGTCTCTGTCTTTCATATAATTTATTCTCCAAGTGTCCACTAGTTGATATTCATGCATCACTTTTTTCAGAGCTCTCAGAGACCTACTCCCCCTCTCTTTGCACGGAAGAGGTATTATCCTTTTGTGGGTCCATACAGAAATTTAGGTCTCCAGCTACTATCAGGCGCCCTTTTTTAAATTCCATTAATTTTTTCAGCAGACCCTTCATATACATCTCCGGGTTTTTATTAGGGCAGTATATATTGGCTAAAGTACACTCAATCCCCTGGAGTCTACCTTTTAAGAATAAAAACCTCCCCTCCGGGTCGGTTCTTCTATCCTCCAGCTCAAATCTCATATTCTTTGCAAAACCTATTGCAACCCCTTTTGCTCTTTTAATTGGAGAATCTGCATAGTACCATGTTGGGTAGTGTTTGGATTTCAATTTCACGTTTTGCCCTCTCAAAATTCGTCTCCTGTAAAAATACCACTGACGTAGCCCTATGATGTAACTCATTAAACAACCTAAATCTCTTCCCTGGACAACTCAACCCGTTCACATTATAGGTTATAAACTGTATTTCTTCCATCATTCCCAATTAACTCCATCTCTCTTCCAGATTGCCTCTTCCTCTTTATCCCTTCTGTCATGCAGAGTATTGACCCAATACCTCCTCCCCTCCCTCCCTCCCACCCAACTCTCGTCCCCTCCCTCCCCCCCTTCCCCCCATCCCTTTTTAGGCTTGTAAAGTGCCTACTAATCATTTGTGGGATCATTCCCACCCTTGATTTAAGACTTTGGGGTTGACCTCCGCCCATGGGCAGCTCACCTCTCCTCCATCCTCCCCAGTTTACCTCTCTCTAAAAATTTGACTCACAAAGAAAAAAAAAAGATGAAATCAGTCCAGAAGAAATACCCTATTTTCAGAAGGGGGTGGGTGGGAAATGAGGAGCGTGGAAGGAGAGAAAAAAAAAAAAAAAAAAAATCGAGTCTCTATTTCTCCCCTCCCTCTCTCCCCCGCCCCAAACCGCCCCCTCTTCTTCCCCTAACCCGCAGCCAGTCCTCTTTTCTTATATCTTCTAATTCTCCTTTTTCTTCTTCCCATCCTTCTATTTCCATTCTTTGCAAGTCCAATCTCTCACAAAAGACTCTCAGTTCCTCTTGAAATCTCAGATAGGCTGTGACTCCATTTCTCCATCCAATTAGGCATTCTGGGGTTCCCCATCTATACTGCACCTTCTGCTTTCTCATTTGTTCCAATAAAGGTCTCAAGGATCTTCTTCTCCATAGGGTCTCTGATGTTAAGTCCGCATAGATTTGGATATCTAAATCTCTATATTTAATTATTGATCTTCCTTTACTCTTCCTCCAAATCTTATCTTTGTCCCCAGATTTTTGAAATTGAACAACTGTATCCCTCGGTCCCCCCCCCCCCCCCCCCCCCCCCCCCCCCCCCCCCCCCCCCCCCCCCCCCCCCCCCCCCCCCCCCCCCCCCCCCCCCCCCCCCCCCTCTCCTCCCCCATGATCTATTTGAACTTTCCTGTTCTGAACACTCCATCCAGATTAATCACTTCTGATTCCGCTCTATCAATTATGGAGTTTAGAATTTTACTAACTAGTTCATACAGTGATTCCCCTTTTACAGACTCTGGGATTCCTCGTACCCTAAGATTACTCCTTCTTTCTTTATTCTCTTGAACCTCCATCCTATAAAGAAGTTTTTTCTGAATAAAGTCCATATTTATTATCTTCCTTTCTAGTTTAACAATGGTTTGGGCCTGATTTTTAACTTTCTCCTCTGTTTCCTCCACTCTCAGCAACAGGTGCCCCAAATCATTCCGAATAGATGTCATTTCTTGCTTTATCATTTTCTCCAGACTTTGAAACATTTCTGTCATCTCTTTTTTTATTTGGTACATGTAGTTCACCCTCAGGTTCGTTTTTCTCCAGCCTTTCCACCGTTTGTTGACTACAGCTGCTATTCATGTCCAGTGATAATCTAGGGTTACTTCCCAGACTGATTTCCATTTCACCCTTTTCACTAGTATCTTGGGGCCTTTCTGGAGTACTATTTCCTTGAGTAGTATATTTCTTAATCGTTCCCGTTTGAGACCCTTTGAGTCCTGCTCCTTTAATTCCTTTATTCTTCATGTCCTCTATGGGTCTTGTTTTCTTCTATGACCCCTTATACAAATGTAAGTCAAATGTCTATGGCTTGTTAACCCAGCCTTGCCTTGCTATTTTTCCTTTTATTTTACTTTTCTGTGTCTCCTTATTCCTCTTCTCTTCTCCACCTCTTCTTGACCCTTGGGAATCCCCCCCTCCTCTCTTTCACCTTTTTTTCTCCCCTCTGCCACAGGAGATTATAGTACACACACAATGTTCCAGTATGTAAAAAGCCCCAGCCGCTCACACTCACCCGTCTCTTTACTTGTAAGAGGCTCTGGTCGTCGGGTAGAGGGCCTTTCTCAGTCCCAGGGGGATTCCTCCTGGGTCTCCTTTGGTCTCTCGGTCACCTGGAGGTCATCACAAGGCTACAGGCTGCTTCTCACAGTTTTCCAGGGTCCAGGGCCAGTCTGCATGCCGGGGAACGAGGCCAGGAGTGAGCCGGCACTTCCCTCTCTGCTCGGGATGCCGGCCGGTCTCACCTCCTCCCAGAGATCCTCCGCGGCTTGTCACATGATCCCGCCGCGTCTCCTCGTCTCCCGGCTGACCCGGCTCCTGCCTCTCTTCACGGGCCACTCAGCTCCCCTGCTCTCCGGCCTCTCCTGCTCGGCCCACCTAACTCCGGTGAGTCTGCCCCTTCATTTTTTTATTTCCGAGGGTCCCTGGGAAGGATGGAAAGCGGAGCCTAGCAGAGTGCTAGTGCCTCACGCTCTCCTCGGCCGCCATGTTCGGGCTCCTCCCCCCCCTCTTGTGGTGACAGCTCTTAGGCAGGACTTTGAGAAGTTACATACAAGAAGACCATAAGGCCCTTTTTTGTGTTACTATTACAATGCTGATGTTATAAAATAAAAGTGTATATTGTGACCATAGATTTCCTAAAAGTATGTATAGTAGAAGTATTAAAAATTATAAAACCTATGTTGAAAAAAAATTGAACTTGAAACCATTTATCCCACTTCCTAGAAACTGTATTGGACAGAATTTTGCGATGAATGAGGTGAAGGTTGCTGTGGCGCTCACTTTACAGAGGTTTGAATTGTACCCGGATCCCAGAAACAAACCCATAAAGACTCAGCAATTCGTTTTGAAATCCTTAAATGGAATCCACTTGAATCTGAAGAAAATAGACCCTATGAAAGAGAAAGACTGGTAACGTCAAAGACCTGCAATACAAAAGTACAAACTTTTCTGAACAATCCCAGGACAACTACTCAAATAACAGAACAAGTATAATCAATACGGCACACAAATCATGTGCTGAACTGAACTTTTAATAAAAGAAGCATTAGTACTGTAATAACATATTTATACATTACTTATGCAGATGAATAAAGTTTATCTCTAATGGAATATGGATAAAGAAATGTCCCTATTTTTTATTTGACATTTATTTTCTTCAGTTTTTCTTTCACATTTTGCCTTTTTAACCCTTTTCTGAAAATATAAGTAATCTGCTCATCCTAATGATCCTTTAGCTTCAGCACTCAAGAATTCTAACTTTAATGGCTACTTAGCTGAGTGATACTGAATCCCTAGGAGCAGCATGATAGCAAGGGGACAGCAAGCTAATTGAGAATGGCAGAATAGATAGATATTATTATTATTATTATTACATGGTTCTGATAACATTCTTTAACCACTTCAAGTCCGGACACTTTCACCCCCTTCCTGTCCAGGCCAATTTTCAGCTTTCATCGCTATCACATTTTGAGTGACAATTGCGCGGTCATGCAACACTGCACCCATATGAATTTTGTAGCATTTTTGAGACAGATAAAACTTTATTTTGGTGGTATTTATTCACCACTGGGATTTTTATTTTTTTGCTATATAAATGAAAAAGTCCAAACATTTAGAAAAAAAGTGTTTTTCTTATAAAAGTTTGCAAATAAATAATCTTTCTTCATAAATCTTGGCCAAAATGTATTCATCTATCTTTTTAGTAAAATGAAAAACAACCCAAAATAGTTTATAACCAAAAATTATAATTTATAAAAAAAATTGATGTTTTTATTTTATTTTTTTATATTATTATTTATGTTTTTTTAACACACTGTCACCCTAGCAGTACAGTGTCACCATAGTGACACTGTACTACTTGTGGGGGGTGTTGAAGATTTATTTATTTTTTACACTGATTGCTTTTCACCCATAAAGGCTGTAAAAGCAATAATTTCACCTACTCTCTGGCTGCATTCTTGCAGCCATTGAGAAATACTGTGTGAGCTGTGATTGGTCACAGCCTGTCACATGGTACAAGGCTGTTGTGAATATGTGATCAATAATGTGATCATTCACAGATTTCACTAGTAGTAAGCAATGATGTCAGGAAGTGACATCTTGCTTACTACTATTCATGTGATCACTGATTGAACAATCAGTGATCACATGATCGGGACCTCACAGAGCGATCAGGAGCGTGCACAGGTGGGGAGCGGGGAGGACATTTTATAAACGGCCACTCGCTCCTGCAGTGCTTCCGTCTGGCCGTTTATATACATATACGGAAGTGGTTAAAGGAAGTGTCTCCCTTAGACTTCCCTCTTTCTTAAGTTCTAAAGTTGGGAGCTTTGGGTACAGCTAATGATGCCCTAAGTGTAAGCTCACAAACCTTTAGCTGTACTACTAGCCATGTTTCCTTCTATCTCTGGCAAATTCCTATTGATCCAGAGGAAAAAAAAGGGAAAAAAGCTTCACAAATGATTACTTTACAAAATTTTACTGTTCCACGAAACTGACTTACTTTGTGAAATGAGGAAAGTGCAAAGATAGCACTGGACCTGTTGGGTTTCTACTGGTATTGTTATCTTATGGGTATTAATGTTGGTGTAAATATTCTGGTTCCTAGGCAGGCAGCTACTACACCCCAGAGGATCTCCACAGTCTCCTTGGCTTGTGGTGTAATGTAAGAAGAGTTGAAAATTAAATGCCGTACTACTGCTAAGAGGTCCAGATACAACTTTATTCCATTAAAGGTCAGGGTTACAATTCAAAAAGTAGCCAACACGTTTCGGGGGGTCTAAGTGCCCCCTTCATCAGGGCTTGGCTGGCAACAAAGTGAACAAACCTTAAGTGAACTGGACCTACAATGGTATTTATTCCAGTGTGAATTGAAAGCACAGGCCTGATCAGCAGCTTGTTTGGCAATGACATTTTGAAGATAACGTCTGAAACTTTGAGTTATATTGAGTAAAATTTACTGTATGATGCAATTCTGCTTCCAAATGAAACCCCTCTAAAGGAGTAGAACAATTTAGGATAAACTACAAAAGTTAAAAGTTATAGGAAACAAAACTGACACTGCTCCAAAACATTCTGGTACATTGTTATTAAAAAAAAATCTACAGGTATAAGAGGAAATTGGTTTCGATTATATACACTACATCAGGTTACAAACCCTGCTAAGCCAGCAGTTCTGAATGCCGCCTCCAGGTTAGTGACAAAATCTGCCCATCCCTTCCTGCCTCCTGCACATTTCTATTGGTGAATGAGGCATCCCATCATAGTGATAGGCTAACAGGAGTATGTATAGGTGGGAGGTAGCTGCATTCTACAAAACATGCTGAGAAGATACTCCAATCCATTTAGGAGCAATCTCCCAATAATGGCATAAGATTTTCCTTAAGCCAAGGTTTACACTTGTCTGTCTGCATTTTTTTTGTGCAACTTTTTTTTTGCGTTTTGATGTGTTTATCCTGATTTTTTTATGTTGTTTTCATGGATTTTGAATGGAATTCATTTTTTTTGTTTTGTCCAAAAACAACCAATATCTCCTGTGACATCATTACACATCGTCTTCCTTCGAACTCCCTGCTTCCTAGGTGTTGTTGCATGTGTAGTTGTGAAGAGGGTAAAACATCCCATCATCAATCTAACACTTCACAGACCATTTCCTTGCATGCCATAGATGCTTTTCTGCGATCTTCCTGTTGGTAGTGGGAAGGACCATACAGCAATGGCCTCTCTCTGACTAGATGGATGAAGGCTTCAACATCCAGCATTCTACTGCTTTGTCTCTCCATCTTCCTTAGCAGCTTGTGCAAGGGCAAAAAAAAAAGATTCAATAATGTGTCTGAAATGCATATACAGCGGGTAAAATAAGTATTAACACGTCACCATTTTTCTAGGTAAATATATTTCTAAAGGTGCTATTGACATTTTGAAATTTTCAGCACATGTCGGTAACAACCCATTGCAATCTATACATACAAAGAAACCAAAACAAATAAGTTCAGAAATGTAATAAAATAGAATGACACAGGGAAGAAGTATTGAACACGCTGACTGTAAAATTTATTTACCTTCTTCATACAAAATCTTTTGTTTGGTAATGACAGCTTCAAGATGCCTCCTGTATGGAAGAAACTAGTTTGCATGTATTGCTCAGGTGTGCTTTTGCCCATATCTTCCATACAAACAGTCTTCAAATCTTAAAGGTTCTGTGGGCCTCTTCCACGAACTCTGATCTTTAGTTCTTTCCATAGATTTTCTATTGGATTCAAGTCAGGCGATTGGCTGGGCCATTCTAGCAGCTTTATTTTTCTTTCTTTGAAACCATTTGAGAGTTTCCTTGTCTTTGTGTTTTGGGATCATTGTCTTGGTGAAATGTCCACCCTCATTTTATCTTCACCTTCCTGGTAGGTGGCAGCAAATTTTTTATAAAGAATGTCTTGATACATTTTTCCATTCATCCTTCCTTCAATGACATGAAGTCTGCCAGTACCGTATGCTGAAAAAGCCCCACACCATGATGTTCCCACCTCCATGCTTCACTGTTGGTATGGTGTTTTTGGGGTGATGTGCAGTGCCATTTGACCTCCAAACATGGTGTGTATTATGGTATCCAAAGAGCTCAATTTTGGATTCACCTGACCAGACTATATTCTCTCCCAGTATCCCACAGGCTTGTCTAAATGTTGTGCCGCAAACTATAAACGAGCTTCAACATGTTTTTTCTTCAGCAATGGAGTCTTGCATGGTGAGCATGCATACAGGCCATGGCAGTTGAGTGCATTATTTATTGTTATCTTTCAAACAATTGTACCTGCTAATACCAGGTCTTTCTGAAGCTCTCCAAAAGTGGTCCTTGGCTCTTGGACAACTCTTCTGATAAAAAAAAAAACTCTTTTCACTCCTCTGTTCAGAAATGTTGCGAGGAGCACCTGGTCATGGTCGGTTTGTACTTAAATGATGTTCTTTCCACTACCAGATTATGGCCCAAACAGTGCTCACTATGTGATGAAAAAAAAATAAAGTAAAAAAAAAATGTAAGTTTACACTCAAGCACAATAAAATCCACCCCCCAAAAATTTTTGATGGCCCCCTCCACCACATATACACTAATGCACAGGGGTTTGGGGGGTTTTCCATATACCTTTTCGATACATAAGTTTCCCTTTTCCTCTGCACACCTTTGGGTGAGAAACAATACTGTTTGTCCCCACGGGAAGGCCCCAAAGAAGGTATAACTTATAATGGTGTGTAAATTCCCCAACTTTGTATCCCGCAGTGGGGCCCCGGAAACCCGACCGCCCGATTTCAGGTTAAAATGGATCCAAAAGTATACACGGGGGGTTTAAATCAGCCCTGGGTTTATTTGGTTTCCCAAAATTTCAGCGGGCAAACAGCGAACAATACTGTAAGGTAATAGAGGTATTGAGGGGTTTCCCGTGATTTTTTTCCCGGGTTAAAAATGTTGGGCAAAACTGATGCCTTCCAAAAACCCAGGGGATTGAATGTCCTGTCACACAGCTATAAGCAATAAAAAAAGGGTGCCCGGGGAAATGACCAAAAACCCCAAAGGGTTGCCCCAAAACCAAAGCCCCCGGGAGAAAAAAACTTTAATAGCAATTTTTAACAAAAACCCTCAGCCAAAGGCCCCAAAATTTTGGCCACAGAAAGGCAGAAAAAGTTTAAAAAATATAGAAAAAAAAACATGGGGAAATAAAATTGGTGATAAAAATGCACGTTAAATAAAAAATATGAGGGGGGCGCAACCCCCCCCGTCTGAAAAAAACCCCCAAGGGGGTTCAAATATGACGGGAAAGTCCCTAAAATTTTTAAAACAACCCA